GAGAGAGAGAGAGAGAGAGAGAGAGAGAGAGAGAGAGAGAGAGAGAGAGAGAGGCATAGGTCAGGTTGTGGATGCCGAAATCGTTGTGAGTTGGCAAACCTCGTGCTTACCACTTTTGGTACACGTGCTCAGTGATACATTTTTCAGAGGGGATCTGGACAACATTGCTGCTGTGAGGTGCATTATGCAGGACCTTTGCAGGTCGTCAAACGATTTGGGATTCCTGCTGAGATTGATCTGCAGTGTTACAATGGTGAGTTTGCAGCTATATGCAGCTTGTCGTTGCCTACTTACTGGCCACGACCTAAAACTTTATGTTCTCTCAATTGTTTGCCAGGTCTTGGCACCGGAGGCATGGCGAAAGCTCAGCCGGCACGAAAAGGAGACTGTTTGCCTTGCTCTGTTCTTTGCAATCAACTGGTTCCGAGAGCTGGTATGACACTTGATCCTTCTTTGGATAAGCTTTCCTAAGGCCCTCTTTCCATGGTGATCGTAAGATTGTTAACCCTGTCCCCGATTTTCTGGCATCCTTTCTGTTAGATGTTGAGTGGGTGCCCTGCCAGAAAAGAAAAAGAAAGATGTCGAGGAGATGGCCAGAGTAACAGAACGAGTTACTGGCACTGTTGTACTCTGAGTGCTGTCCTCCTCCCCCAAGGCTTCAAGCCTTCACAAAATGCTATGAAACTGTGCCAAAGGGCTCAAGAGTCAAGAGAGCATTCTGCAAACAGATCAGACAGACGTACTAAAACTCCAGATTATATTTCTGTGTTGCAGCTGAATTCTTTCTCAACACAAGTTCAAGGATTTGGAGACCGTCTGACTCAGGCAACCATGGAGGAAACCTCAGTTAAGCTTATCAGTCGTCTTCGCAACATCGTGTATGTCTCATGACTCTCATCTTGCCTTGGGATGTCACTACTTCAGACAATGCCTTCCAGCACGCTCTTGTTGTTTTGAGAATAAGGGGATCATCCCTTCCAGGCGGCTCTTGTTCTCAGAAAGAGGCGAAACAATAGTACACTTCTCACAAAAGTACCTCCTTTGTGGCGGAATGGTACATACAATGTCATTCCTGCAATTTACAATGTCATTCCTGCAATTGTTAACAAACAGATCATGAGCTTAAGTCCTAGTGGATGTAACAATGTCACACGTTATGTCAGTGGGCACCACCTTAAAAAAGAAAAAGGGGAAGAAAAGGTGAGTAGTTTGGAAAGGCGCTAGTACAGGACAGGGTTTGTTTCAGTCATTGATAGCTGGCATCGAAATGGGACAGCGTAGTTTGTATACAGACTTCCTGGTAGCATGACATTGTTTCCTTCGTTCTTCTTCAACACCTTAAAAGACAACCCAAGGTAGGTGCCTTTAGGAGAGACCTGGTATATAGCCATTACTGGCTCGATGGGCAGGCCCACCTGAGGTCCCATGACCGCCTTCGCAATTGACACCCCTGGGAGTTGGGAGGTTGTTTGCTGTGGGCCTTGAGATCAGCCTAATGGCTTAGGAGTTGAAAGATCAGCTCTGTGTGTGTGTGTGTGTGTGTGTGTGTGTGTGTGTGTGTGTGTGTGTGTGTGTGTGTGTGTGTTTTGAATTTTCACCACAACAGCCCCTATTCCACACAGATGAACAGATCCAAAACCAAAGCAT